TATATATATATATATATTTCACAATATACACAAAATACACGTTTCATTAGATCGTACCTATTATATGCATTATATCGTTCACTTAATTGAAAAAAATTCAATTTTTTCAAGTGGATGATCGTAGAAAGAAAAGATTTCTTACATTAATTTACATAATTACAATAAGAAAACGCATTTCCTTATCTAAGGATAGCTGTTAAGATTAAGATAGCTGTGCTGCCGTTAAACATTTTTCTTAAAATATATATCATCAAGCATATGTTGTAATATAAAGATGCGACATTATCGTCGTTTATTATTGTCAGAACATCAATACACGAATGTAAAAAATATACGTTAGTATTAATTGATCCACGGATTATACTTGAATTACTATCTCTTATTGTTCGTGATGTCGACTTTTGAATTGAATCCGACGGACAATCGTGTTGTGATATTCGTTTTTTTAGATTAAATTACATAATTATTTTTATTGTTCTTAATTTAATACATAAAAAAAATATTTCACTTAATCGTTAAATGTATCCTTCTAAACAAAAAGTTTATCATTAAAAGCAGCAGAAAATATTTGATAATTCTCTGTATAATTGTTATTATTTTAAAATACTAGTTTGGATATATTATTTGCTTATTGTTATTGCATCTATTTTGTTAACTAATTACTATTTTTTTTTGCAGGGAAATATAGGGCGACTGGCGCAGGATCACACGCCAGCACGAATCTTACAAAGTTCCTGACGATTTTAACGATACTCAGGTTGCATTTGTTGTTAACTTAAAATGCACATTCGCAATGTTAAAAAATTATTTTGTATATTATTATTTTAATAAATTATTTTTGCATTGAAAGAGAATTCTTCGCGATACGATGAAAATATTAAATAAATATATTTTTGTGAAACATACGTATTTTATAAAGCAGGCAAAGCTTAATTACCAGGTATATAAATATGAAACCGGAATTTTTGTATAGAAAATAATAATTATGTATGTGTGCGTATGTGTATATAGAAGATGTAAATATATTTTACGTAAATTTCCAAAATTTTAATTATAAACTAGAAATTACAATCATGCCTATTGTGATAGTTTTTGTACATAAAGGATTTTATTAATCTGCACAAAATATTACAAGCTTAAAACAAAAAATGTACTTTACAAAGTACTAATGAAAGTAGGAAAGAGTTAATGCAATATTGAATGCTCCATGAATAATATATCAGAAGACAAAATTATTATGGCATGGGGATCTGATTGCTATATTTGCCATTACAATACGTTTATTACATTCGTATAAGGAAGAGAGAGAAAGAGAATGCGAGTTTACTGCACAAAAAAATCTCGCCTAAAGAAATGCGTTCCTCTTATAATACTGTTCGTAACATATGATCGCATTACACAAATGCTAATAAGAATTAAAATTGATAGGATATACATATAATATTCAGAAGAAAGACAAATCTCGTAAAAGAACGATTTGGCCATTAAAGTAAAAATTGACTTTAAATTATATATATAAGATTAAATACATATTATATATAGTACATAGAATATTATATATTACATAAAATATATAGTATATTAGTTTTATATATGTGTGTATATAATATATTCGGAGAGAGAGCCAAATCTGCGAAGAGCATGTATTGCAAATTGTGCGCTATATACTATATTAAAAGAACTTCAGCAGCTAATAATGATCTGTCATTTCTCAGTTAGCGTTGACAAAGATGCAATAAAAAAAGTGAGCAGTTTTTGCATGACTATATGTAACAACAAATGCTGCAAAAATTAAACAAAAGTTTTTGGCGTTTTGGCGCTAGTATATTATGACGAAAGAACTGCTCGTTTTCTGATACTTTTCTGCCTACACTAACTGAAATGACAGACTGGTCGTCTGCTGTCGAAGTTTCGCCAACATGATATATAGCGCATAATTTGCAATATGTGATCTTTGCAGATTTGGCTATATCTGAATTCATTTACATGATATCTATAGAATCGAGATTTTTTTCTTTACAAAAATCGCCGAGAAGAAAATTTATATAAAATTATATATATATATACATATATATACAGGGTGCGGCATTTATAGTGACGCGGGGTTCATTTTGTTAAGACTACGATATGAGATATGATATACATTTATAAGTTGAATTTTTTTTAAAATATGTACAAATTCTGGAGACGTGCTGGGGATGTCGTCTCTCCGTGGCAATCGACACTGCATCCATGGAGCGAGATTCCAACATCGCTCTGGAGTCGTATGTACTGTGTTAAAGTGGCGTAAGGTGTGAGGTCTGAATAGCTCAGTGGTAAGAGCAGTTGCCCGGAAAGCGAAAGACTCGGGTTCGATTCCCCGATTCAGCTACTCCTCGTACCTGCATGTTTTTTCAGACCCGCGTCCCAAAAATTTACCCAGGGCTTGACAGTCTTTAATAGTATCTAGTCGGTGATATATGATGTATGAAATCTCGATATACCGTGATAATGATTGTCTTATGAAAAATACATATATATCACCGAGATACTATTAAAGACTGTCAGTCCTGGGTAAATTTTTGTGACCATGAAGTGTGGGTCCGATAGGCCCGGAGGTAATTGAAGAATGCTGACATTACCGGCCGTTTTGACTGCATCAAAGATAATTACACGAATTATTTAATTCATACGGTTATTTTAGTTCATCCAGTTATTATTGTTTTATTATCGAAAACACCGACGAGATATCATTAAAGACCGATGGGTCTTCTGGAATTTAGCATGACTGAAAAAAAAACTTGCTACGTGCTACTGTAGGTAAGTATAAATCATTGTCGATAATAAAACGATAATTTGGTACAATAAAATGTTTATTTCGTTCTTATTGAGGCAGTTACATAAAAGATATACATTTTCGGTAATAAAACAATAACTCGATGAACTAAATGCCACGGAAGAGATGGATGCTTGGTTCGTGCCTCCTGCCGCCTTAAATCCCCCCCTCGCTTCACGGAGAGACGACATCCCTAGCACGTCTCCAAAGCGGTCCAATCATATTAAACCAGTGCTCGGAGATAGTTGCCCTTTTCGGGCCGATTTCGTGGCTCACGCCTATTGCCCTCCACTCACCGCTCGTGCGTTAGCGACGAGTCGCCAGATACGCGTAACTAAGGAGCGCGACGCTTTGTCTCAGGAGCGTCCGTATATAAGAATG